TTGCACAGAAACCCAAGGCCAAGCAGGATAATTAGTGCACTGGAACGATCAATACTCCTTGCGTGGGGGTTGAACGCAGAGTGAAAAAGCAATCTAAGGAAGAGTAGGAAGAGAACTGCAAGGAAAAACAAAATTCAAATATGCTGCATACATGACAAAGTGAGACATTTACATTAAATAGAAGGGGCTTCTTTATGTGAACGATAAATACAAGGAGCCAAATCCAGCCCTTTTGATGCATTTTAAAACCCACATACATTTATTATTTATATTCTCAATGCATAGAAACACCGTATTGATTACCAGGAAGTGCCACTGAGATATCCTCAGTGAGCATAAAGACATGTGGTAAAGACCGGAGAGCAATGGCAAGGCGTAAAGACAGGAAGACGGATAGTTAGGTAGATGAAGGAAGGCGAGGGTTCAGCAGATCGATCGGCAAAGGAAGAGGAGATGTCCCCCGGGGGTTGAGCTGGGTCTTTTTAGCACTGTGTGAGGAGAGAGGGATGACATGTTTCCCTTTTGAGGTGCTGAGTGCGCGAGGGAGGGTTTAGCCATCACGGCCAGGATGGAAAGATGCACGGGAGGAGAGTGCGTGTCCGCGGCGCTCTGCGGCGTGACAGACGGTGAAAGCGAGCAACAAACAGAGCGCTCTGAGAGAGGAGAGGAAGACATACTGCTTCTCCAGACTCCAGCTCCCTGCCATGACTCTGGGATGTCAGCCATGCCCTGCCCACCCGAACTCAGCTACATGCATCAAGAGAAAACAGAGAGCAATTGATTCTGTCTGTAGGCTTTTTGATTCATTTTCCCCATCGTCTTTCTGGAGGTACTTCAGGAGAAAGCCTGATTAAAAGGAGCCAAAAAGAGCATGACAAGAAACCTGAAGTCAGCGCTGTGCAGTGAGGTGTGTAGGGGGGCGGCAGGAGGTGAGAAAAAGAGCAAATCTCTGGTTATGGGCCAAAGAGAATCGTGTAATCCTTTAGAACCAAAGGACAGAAAAGAAACAAAATCACAAAATTCTTACTTGATTAATGTAAATTCTACAGTCCAAGAATGTTACAATTCAACACACCAAATACAAGAACCATAGACAATGCTCCGCTCTCACCATATACAGTATATGAAAAACATGCCACCTACATTAAACTGAGATGTGGCTTCTGTTGAAATTGGAAAAAAAAAAATGCTACCTGGTTTCCAGAATAATAAGAATTTGTAATGGCTCCCCCCCACTCACTGAAGGCATAAATGAAAACATGATCTGGATGTCGACCGCCATCCCTGCTGCAGATTAAGGTTCTGACACTCAACCAGGAAATCCGTTTGAGTGAGCAAAATAAATAAAACATTGAGTTGCACCATTTGCAACTCGGCAACAGCTCTACTACTATCAGAAGAAACGTCGGAGCAGGTGAAACAGTCAGAAAAGCTCCAACTGAGGCCAGACAGGAAAGACTCACACACATTCGCAGTCTAAACATGATGCTCTGATACCTGAGATTTAATACAGCATTTATTTATTCATGAAGGAATCACAGAATGAGATTTAAGATGACTAAATATAAAACTAAAAATAAACATCTATGTGGAGAATATTTGGATGGAACTACTTTTTGTCCTTTGAGATGCTTCGACGAGTTTTAGCTGGTTTAGAAATGAACTGAAATCAATACTAATACCTCTTTATGGCCTGTAAAAGCAAACGAGACCATCAGTGAGAAGACTGATATTTACAAATGTTGTTTATATGCCTGTCACACATGCAGCGGTGTAGGCATCAATCAAGGCCCAAAGAGCCTCTTTAAGAAAGCCTTTCCCCGAAAAAAGATTCATTGTGTTCCATGTGAAACATTTTTAAATAAATAAAACACTTCTTACACATGCACAGGACAAAATCAGCAAAGACATTAATTCCACTTTGGCCACAGGGGGCCACAAAAAAATCGACCGAACCCTGAAATTCCACATGGGAGCTTTAATATGAAGCTACAGCTGGTTAGCTTAGCTTAGCTTAGTATAAAATGGGAATGAGTTAGTCTGGCTCCATTAATATATATTTTTTGTTTTATCTGTATTATTTGGCTAAAAGAAGTGACTGAGGAGTTTTGTCGTTATCCTGGAGTTGCCAGCAGAACCTCTAGCAAGAGAAAAAAATAATTCAGCACATCTGTTTCTACACATTCTGCTAAACTAAGCTAAGCTAAGCTAAGCGACGCAGCGTATCTTCTCCCTTTGGCATACAAATACTAGGGTGTAATCTTCGTCTCATCTATTTGTTGTTTTAAAAAGGACAATCATTTTATTTTCCTTAACACTATCCCTTGTGAAACGTGATGAAAATGTGTACTAGAGGTGGACCTTTAAATTAAATTAAATGTCATTCCATCTCATCAGTAATATCAGTTCCTTTCACCACACAGACACGCCCACATTTGCTTCACACGTTCAAGCTTTCTAGCGTGGGACGCACAGGACAGTTGGCCATTGTCTCTCATAATTGATGTCAGAGCCCTGAGGTGCATTAGTGCATCACAGGATGTGCCCATGCTGCTGTGCATATAACCTCTCTGTAAGAAGCAAGCCAGCCTCGCCCACCAGCTGCACACCACAGACAGATCATATTGATTATACTGCTCAGGGAGGCAGAATAAAAGCATGAGGGGTATTTTTTTCTGACTGACCTATTTGACGAGTATTAAGTGACAATATTTCAGCCGGAAGACGCACTGCAGAGGCTTCTTTTGGGCTTCTCCGTGTCCTCCAGGAGCGCCTAAAAGCAACACTGATTTATTGAGGAGGAGAGAAAATGGAGGAAGCTAAGAGAGCATGCACATCACAAATCTCTCGCACTGTCCAATCTGCAATCACGGCACATCTTTACTGGTCAGTTTAAGTTATGCAGCTTCACATGCAGGCATTCAAAGTCATGCTGTTTTATACAACCTGCCGGGCAGAAGATCAATGAAGAGATTCAGCTAATATCAAACCCTCGCTTTGCTTGATCAAGTTAGCATCTTTTTTATCTCACAGGGGGGGGGGGGGGAAGGAAAAGAGAGATTGGATATCTTATCAGATATTCTAAGATCTAATTACGGCAAAATGATTTGTGGTCTTTATAATTGCTTGAATCCAGAGCCTGAAAACCTCTCCTCGCATCTCACTGGATATTCATCCCCACTGGATTTCACCGTTTATCTTCTGAAAAGAGGGAAATGTTTGAGAATGTTTGAGACTTGACGCCGTTTAGGCAGTCTCTCCAGGATCACAAGAGAACTCAGAGCGGTAAAAAGAGGAGACAGACACAATGTGGCACTTGGGCACAGCAATATGACTGCCACAGTGGGGCAGTGGTCCATTTAGCTATAATCAACAACCCTGTGGGATGAAATCTCCTCTGAAGCAACATAACTCGCCTCACAAGAAATAGGTGTCGACGGTTAGTAAAGCTAGCATCTGGTGTTGGAAATAAAAAGAAAAAAAAAAGCCAGAACCACAGGACTCCACAAACAGTGATTAGAGCTCAGAGCTCTCAAGAGGGTCCTCCATTAACAACGCTGCACAAATCAATGTTTATGACCATCATAAAAAAACTGCAAACCAGAAAGCCCCCAAAGCCCGATTCATCCATAAAGTGAATTCTTCACACGACACATTCGGCCGGCATCAGGCTGATTTAACCTGAGAGCAGACCGATGCAGTGCTTCGTCTCACTGCTGTAACCAGCCTTCAGCTAATCCCATGAACCATAGTGAGGCACTGGTGTTACTGCCTAGAGTGTTACTGACATTCATTTAGCTCTGTGTTATGAGCATTTATAAGAGCTTCACAACTATAAATGTTAGGAGGAAATATATAGAGGAGAGAAAGGCCAAACCAATGAGCCCTAAATGAAGTAAAATACTTAAAGGATGATTTATGTTGCTTATTTCATGCTGGTCATCTTTGTAGAATAGGAATTAAATATTTACAATTATACAATACATTACATATATATTCATAAAATCTCAGGAATTCAGCTCATAATACTTAAGATGGGAATCTTTTACCATGCGTACCTAGCAGCACATTGATATTAGTAATTCAATTTGATGAGTTAAGAAAACACTTGATTTTACATAAGAATAACTTTGGTAGATAAAAAACTAAAAACGTTGATGAAGATGGTTTAGATGACTCAGATATTTTTAAATATGTATACTTTAGATTGAGAAATCAGATGTCTTATTTTTTGAGGGGGCAATCACATTTCACAATATTATTTACAACAGGATATCTCGATGAGATATTGATTGGATATAAGTAAATAAATGATTAAGTGGCAAACAGATAATCCACAATATTTTAGCTTTTTTCTTTCTGCATGATCCTCCGGTCATAGTACAAATAATAAGGGCCTAGAAATCATTTTAAAAATTAATAAATAATTTAAATAAATGTTCAATACAAATAGAAGGGTTAGCTATTTGAAGAAAAGGCAACAGAGAATCTAATGGGATACGCATAGAAACACAGGAAAGGGTAAAGAAAGCATGGATTATTCATGTCTATTCCCACGGTGTAGGCAGCTACTTTTTGATGGATTGTGCCCGGGGCGCTCCTCCCTGCTCAATACCAACAGTCCCAGCCGCGCGCGCTGCTCCACACAGCCGCCATGATGAGCTCCCTAAGAATCACAGACAGGGCCAGCGGCTCTCATCTCCGCTCCATAGTCAGACATAACGATGGTGTGTGGTCTGAGGTGAAGCTAAATTTAAAACTAGAGTATCAGGAGGAGGGTAGTGGAGCAGAGACGTAGTGCTGACGGGCGTTTGACTGAGCTTATTTTAGAGGTAGTAACACGGATGGAGAGCAAGGGTCTGTCTTTTCCAATTAAATGACAGGTGGAGGTGAGAGTCATTGTCAAATGTTATGAACGGCACATATTTTCCTCTTCCAGTTTGTTTTTTTCCAAAGAGAGACCTTGGAGTGTGGGTCTTTGTGTGCATGGGTGAGCTCACCTGGATCGGCTCCAGCTGGTTGTAGTGGAAAAGCTGCAGGGGCGTTAACGCAGGAAGAAAGTGATAATCTGACTCCCAGCCTCAAGAAGGAGCATCTCTGCAGAGAAATACCATGTTTCGATTAAAATACTATGAATGCATCATTTGTATCTGTTGCATTATTTTTGTTTAATGTGTTAGGTTTTTTTATTTAACGTTAGCAGTTTTTCTTACTATATACTGATTGATTGATTTGATGATATTATTTTGTCCTGCATTAACAATATACCAAGTCAAAACAGGTTTACATTAGAGCATTTTTAGGACAATCAGACGAAAAAACCAAAAGTAAACATATAAATTACAGTCACATTATAAAGAAATAAACCATCCTAAAAGATCTTCCAAGCTATAGAAACAAAAGTGTCCAAGCTGACAGCTTAAACAAACAAACATGCAATTTGTCATCACCAGTGTCCTTTAAAAAAATGTAAGATTTAGAACCTACATTTAATTTGTCAAAGCTCATCAGAAAAAGGAAAATCTGAAAGAAAGTCACAACTCTCTCTAAATCACAAAGTTCACACCGTCTCTGAGCTTCCTGGATATATGTTGACAAGACCGTTTTAAACATGAGATATAAATAATAAAAAAAGCCTTTCTCTGTTTAATAAGGATATATGAAAAAAATAAATTCTGGATACAACACATATTCAACTGTAGAACGCTGTCTTATTCTAAAAACTAAATAAGGATGTCAAATTTATTAGAAAGGAAAATGAAAAAAAACTCAGAACCCATTAGTTCTCAGAAATGCAACGATTCAGAGACTGAAGAAGGAGCCCACACGGTATCTGAGTGAAGACATGAGATAACTGGGCTTAAAGGAAGCTCCTCTGACTACTGCGTTAAATGATGAGCTCAGTCTGCAGCGAGCTGAAATAGCGTTCCCTCTTCATGAGCTCTGAACTCAGGGTGAACCTGAGCTTTTTTTTCTTCTTTTCTATTTAAAAAGAGGCCTATCTGTAGACAGCAGGAGCCTTTGCCAAATTTCTCTTGGCAGACATGTTAAAAAGACGTTCAATAGGAAAAGAAATCCAACACGATGCAGGTCATATCTCAGTAACAAACGCTGCCTGAAGCCACCAACACCCCAGACAGAAAATGATAGTGCAGACAGTGTGGGCCTCTGATGGGAAACTGAGTAATCCTGAGATTTCACACTCTGAACACATTCCTCCCATCTCCCAGCATTTCAGCAGGTCAAGATGGCCTCTCATGGTCAACCAAGGCATTCAAAACACCTTAGCAACAGTTAGAATCCTTCATGCCGCAGACCTGATTGTCAACCCGTGACTTTACAATCCTCCAATGAGCTCGCTCCGCCGCAAAGAGGAGGAGACGGCTGTACGCAAATTAAGCAGGGACTCGAACAAAGGGAGGAGGCTTCAGAAACACTGACCATCAGTATTCCCTCCACATTCACTGCCATCACTCTGCACACTCATCGAGAGCCCCCGTCCGCCCTGTGTGTAATTATTCTGTCACTTAACAGGCAGACAACATGCTCCATGAATGAGCAGGCCCATGCTCGACAATTACCATCACCGCTGAAGTCTTTCTTTTTTTTTTTCCCTGAACGGGTGAGCAGATCAAGGCAGAGCAATTTTTACACAGATACACGTTTTTCTGCCAAGATGTCCTGTAAAATACATCGGACAAATATGTTACATTAACATGCAGAGAGAGGCCAGTCATGCAACATCCACAGAATATTCTAACCCTCCTCCTTGTTGCTCGTCCTCTGAGACAGGGAGACTTCAGAGACGTGTCAATACTTTGTTTTTCTCTTCATGTTGGAAGCTGTCTGTACTAGAAAGGTTAGCCGGAGAATGCAGTGATGGGATTTTTAAGAAGCCTCTTGCATCCTCACATGTTACCAGAACTCTGTATTACAATCTGAGTGTGGAAACGTATTGAATTCATGCATTAGAATTGGCAAGTGTGAGGCGAATTCACAAGCCGAAGCTCTACGAAAGAGCTCAACAATCAAACACTGCTGTGATCGGAATCAACTTTGAATCACGCATCAGCTCTAGTCTCACTTTTCTCTATTTGGCCCTGCTAAAGCATTGGCAGCATGCAGGGAAGCTAACAATGCTACACTGCAGAGCTCTGAATTCGGGACAATTTAATGCATCCCACTCAGTTTCGTCTCAAAAGACAAAAAGATCTTCTCTTTAAAGAATGAATTGATGTCTTTTAGCACGACACACATCAGTACAATTCAAAAGTGATTTACCACACATGCTCTCAGTAAAAACCCAAGCAGGTGTTTAAACCTGACCAATACAGACCCCATGTTCTTCATTCTTTGTTTCATAATGTACAATCTGAAGGCGAGCCCACACAAACATTAGCAGATAAATTCACCCAATTTGCTGGTCCTGTACACTTTGGCTGCTCAGCCTCCCTGCAGGCCTGCAGCTCCTGGATCTCAATGGAGAGGCTCTCCTCCAGGGAGAGGCGGTGTGTGGGCTGTGTGGGTGCAGCAGGTCACCCCCTGACTTCTCCACCACCGAGATTCATCCACTCCACTCCGCCTGCGAAAACCAGAGATGCACGTACGATATGTAAAGGAGAAAAACACTCTGGATTTTGTTGTTGTTGTTGCTTTAAAGCTGTATGGGCATTCTTGAGAATCCCTTTCCCTTAAAATGCAAATATCGCAAATGAGATTCATGTTGCGGTGTGGAGAAAAAGGAAATAAGCCTGCACATGTAATGTCACAAAACAGTACATTTTTAGAATACAGCATCACTTGGATCTTCAGGGAAAAAAAAAGAACAAATTGGAGGCATTACACTTGAAGCTTTTCTCTATAAAAATGGATTCTCCAGCTAACCCCCTGCTTTGCAACAGCAGAGCATGACCAGCATTATTTTACATTCCAGAGGAGGCAGAGAGCCGAGCGGCCCTTTCTCCTGAAATAACACTGTTGTCTTTCACAAGATGTTACAAAACACACGCGTCCATGGAAATCAGGAGTCCAGCTCAAAATGCCTGGCGATCATGTGACCAGGCCTCCATCCTCCTGTACCTCTGAACAGGCTAATCAAATATGCTCCCTCTCCCTTCAGAGACCTAATCCCTCTTAGCGAGGATGTAAGAAACGTGCCACCTGCTTCCATTCATTCAAGCTCGAGGCCTGACTGCCCTTGTGACACCAAGCTACCCTTAATCTCAGGAACAAATGCATAGCTTCATCCAGATTTCTCTACAGCATATATACATATTTTAGCCAGCAAACGTTAACCTCACAGCCCATAGAACTAACTGGCAGGTTTAGATCAATGGACTCTGACCTGAAATATTCATCAGAAATAAATGAACACACACCAGGTCAGACTGTAAGGTGAAGTAAGGATACGTTTACAAAAATGTGTTGAAAGTGAGTCGAATGTTTACTTTCAAAATATGTTTTGCTTGTAGTAATCGTTCCTCCCGTGTTGCTGCTCAGACAGTTCTTACTGCTGTACTTCCAATGTCAGTGATGGGAAACATTCAAAGTCCTGTTTCTGCTACGGCAACACTCCAAAGTGTATCTGCAGCTTAAATTACATCTCTAACTGTGTGAATTTAGGCATCTTTCAGGTTTACTGATAGCAACTACTGCTCTGTAACTTTCTATCTCAGGAAACGATAAAGCTTTCACTGCAAGAAACGGTCATGTTTATGTTAAGACACTTGTTATACAATGTCAAATGCTCCTTCCTGTTGCAGGATGATGAGTGCCACAAACAAAGTCATTCATCAGTGTTTGGATCAGAAATGATTATTGGAGATGTGATGGAAAGATTTGTCCCCGAGATCAAAGAAAAGACCTCAACACAGGACGGGATAAAAGTGGTTGGTGAAAATGAGATTTGATTTTTTTGATGAACAGTGGATGTAGACGGACCCTTACTAAATGTCTCAGCTCGGAGTAAAGTGTCACATGTGGCACTGGTTCAGGAGATCTCAAGACCAAATATCCCCCAGTTACAAGCAAAGATTACAAAAAGCAACTAACAGGTTTATTCAGAGTTAATGGGTTTTGTTTTGTGATGTTTGTACTTAAAACTCTGGAATTTGAGGTTATTTTACTTTTACTACAGGAGGAAAGTTATAGACTTAAAGCTCCTGTGAGGAACTTTTAGTTTTTTGTTGATTTGGCGCCCCTTGTGGACAAAGCTCTGATCTCTTTAGTGACTTTGTCATGTGGTATGGTTTTAACAGAAAATATCATCCTGCTTTTCCTACATTTAAACAGATCACTCCCTGTCAAGCTTTTCAAGGGAAAACGTAAACAAAGGCTGTTTTAGCCGTGTGCTGCAAATCACTTTGCCTGACGGTGCCGTGTACCACGAGGGCAGATCAGAGGGTAAGCCGCTCTGTTGAGCCTCAAGTCAAAGTTTGCCTGGCTAGATCACCGTGCTAACCTACTCTTCAGAGTTTCGGCTTTAAATCGGCTGCCGTCATTACTATCACCTGTGAATCTTCGACGCAGACATTATAGATTAGATAGCCTTTAATTCGACAGAACCAAGCCCCACTTTTACTGAGTGAAGGGAAAAAGTTGGGATGCAGTGGCTGCTTGTTGAGTGTTGAAAACCCACCTGCTCAAATGTGAAATGTCACAATTCTTCTGACTTCGGGTTAATTAACTTTTTAGCAGAAGCCATGTTAGGATGTGTCAAAAGTCTCTCTCATTTCCACAGAGCTTGTGTCACTGGTCTCAGTTGAGGGAAAAATGACGTGTATGTGAAATACATGAGACTAAATTTTGTATGACGAGTCAAACCACTCTGAATTGTAGTTGACATGTTAAATTCTCTGCAGCATCAGGAAGCTGCATACATAAAAACATGATTAAACATTAAATCAGAGTTAAATCAATCTTGTATTTTGTGTTGAAAGCAGAACAGTGCGCTCATCTTCCACAAAGTGCCCCCACACAATATATCTTCAGGATCAAAAAAAAAAAAGGGAGTGGGCAGGGATCTGAGAGGACTTAAAATAAGTAGAGCAGGAGTGTTCAGATGGATCTTTGTATTAAAGTTGCTTTTAATTTGCTGTGCAGTAGCCCATTCAGGATAACATAGGTTGTTTAAACAAGGATGGAGATGCCAGACTGCATTAGCATCCAGACAGACTCTGCACCCAGAGGACCCCACAGTGCCGGGAAAATCAGTCATTAAATTTGCAGGCGCTCTGCAGAGCTCCACTGTCTGCTTATAGGAAGAGGGACAGCACTTTATGGGGCAGGATTCATTTACCACAAAGCTGCTTCACGTTTCTGATTCACCTTAAATACAATGCACGGCCTGGAACTTAGGACTAAAAGGCCCAGGATGGTTTGTCGGAAGTCAGATTGTACGTGGATATTATTTCTGAAATTTTAAAAGAGAAAGTGAGCTATCTTTGAACCACACGCTCTTAAAAGTGCCCATTCAATATTTACAGAATACTAATGAGACACCGGCAACAGAAAGAACTCGGCTAAAAATACATCTGCCTGTAGTTCATGCTCAGTCCATCCTCGTACATCGTGTTTCTAAAAAGGTTGTAAACATTGTTTTATTTTCAGGATTTTAAGATCTATTTTCATTTGCATTAAACCTGCATTTCAAAATAAAAGCTGGGTGCCATTAAATGCATTATTTTTGGTTAAATTACCTAAAGAATTAAATGTTTAGTCAAAAGTTCGTTGCCATTTTATACAGGGACACATTTTCTATAAAGTGAAATCAAATACAATCCTCTTCAATAACGTCTAATTTTACGATCCCATGATGTCCTGCCCACTACTGTAAAATGCACATCTATACATATTTGACAACGACGCCTAAAAATGAAAATGTTGAGCCTACTTATTGTATGGTCTTGTTGTAGTTGAATTGACTTGTGTTAGATTGTGGAAGTGTAACTAATAAAGTGGTCTTTGGATATCTGCAACAAATGCGACAGCAAATGTTCCAGACAATGATTGTAAACATGCAGATCTTACAGAAAGAGAAGTTCAGTGTTCATACAATAAACGCAAAGAGAAGATGATCGAAAAACAAACTGCATCTTCAATTTATGAATCTTTTCAGGGTTGTTGACGTGGCAGCCATTATTTGAGGCATACAGTCGTCTCAATTGTTGCTCTGCTATTATCTTTTTGATTGCTGCTGTGGTGTTCACGACTCCGCCGGGTGATTTTCTCCGTTCTAAACATTGACTTTTGTTCATAGCTCTTTGTTCATCTATTGTAAACAAAGGATTTTTGTTGTTTCTCATTTCATGTGCCCTTCCCCCGTCTACCTCTCGTCTCTGAAAGCTGGGGTTTGTTGTTAGAAGCCTGGCTGGCCTGCCCCCTCTCCTGCCTCAAAGCCGGCTGCAGATGAAAAATTTATGACTGTATGCCTTGAAAACCTCACATACCATTTGAAGTGCTGCTCCTCTGTAGCTGCCCCCACTGATGGTGACTGCGTCTGCCGCCTCCGTTCGACCGGCTCTTTTCCTCACAGCGGGGGGTGCAAATCAGGCAGAGAGGGTGGGACTCTGTCAATTGCTTTACACTTCTTCAATGGTTCTTACTAATCAAGTTTTTTTTTTTTTTTTGCCGTGTGCAATTATAAAACATTGACAAGCTGCTTTTCAAAATCAGACTGTTGACCCCCGCAGACTAAAAGAATATCAAATAAGAAAAAAAAATGTTGTCTTTAAAAAAAAAAGTTAATCTTGCACGACATCTCTGATTGCACTTAAGTTCCTATTTTGATGTTATATCAAAACTCTTTATTTCATTTAGATTAATAAATGATGGTTAAACAGCTCCTTGCAGACACATGCCAGCGTACTCTTAACAACATATTAAGATTTCATTCAAGCATCATTTTACACTAAAAGGCTGATAATTGCAGGGTGTTTAATAGCATATTCTAATGGAAACCATGCATTTAAAAAAAACAGCAGTGATTTTTACAACAGATTCACTTTCATAATTTTGTTTTTTTAAATACTTGTTTTTTCCTTCTAAAAATGATCGTGTCTCTTAAGAGAAACGAGCATGTCTTTGTACCCTTTACCTCCAAAATGTCTTCATAACACAAAAAGAAGCAAAGTGTAAAAAGTCTAGGATCCAAAACATTTCAAGACCAATGAATAATTTTTATGAAAGTGTTAAAACGTTTGAAATATTTAAGAAATTTTGGCTGAAGTTTTGCAAAAATGTTGGGAAAAAACCCCAAAACTGAACTGAACTGAGAATTCAGAGAGCATCATCAGAAGACTTCTGCTATCCTGACTCCACAGTGATTTCTTTTGATATTAGGCAGCAGACACTTTATACATCTAGTGTTACAGGCTGAAAAAACTCATTTGTTTAGATGGAACCTCAGCCCATAAATATGAAATAAGATTCATTTTAAAAATGTCTTGAAGCAGTCAGCTCAAATGTTAAAGCTCATGTTTTACAATGTTGTGTTTTTTTCCTCATTGTTGAACACACTAACTTTAAATAGACAGAAGTTTCATTACTGTATTAAAACATTTCTTTGACAAGATGTTGCCAGAAAGATGTTGTACTTAGATTTAGTTACCTCCACATTCTGTGTGTATAACACTTCAGACCAGATATTCAAATGTCAAATCGCTGGGAAACATTTCTATCATCCAGCGGGGGATGATTTAATCACCATAGTGACAATGACAACTCATTCCAAGGCCAAACATGTGGGCGTCGTTTCCCAACACCTCTACATCCTTCAGTTAAAAGGGATGGTTTTTTTTCCTTCACAAAACCCATTTGGACAGCTGTGAAATGTAATGAGAGGTAAAAATAAAAACAATATGCTAAGGAGTGAACGAGTAACACATACATTATTATCATTATCACAGCCCTGTTAATGCAGTGCTGGAAACACAGGACAGGTAGCCTTTCTTTTTCACTATAAGAAACTACTTTGAGAATATTAAAAATCCTTTAAGAGGAAGATGTTGTCGCTTAGTTTCCATTGATATTTGAGCTGCACTTCACATGAAGTAAACACATCTGAAAAATGTAGATATCATTTGACTTAACAGAAGGTTGCTGCAGAAATTCTTTCGCTAGAAAACCTTGGCAAAGCCTTTTTTTCCTTATGCATAAAGTCACTTCAGTTCCTTAGCAACAGGTAATTTCACAACACACCCTCCTGTAGGTGCAGCAGGAGCTTTTCATAGCGGGGATTCAAGCTAATCAAAGTCACATCAGACTGCAACCTTGAGCCACTCAATACTGTTGAAGCCTCTGTTCAAAGCTGGGCTGATGTCACACTTGTCACAGGAATAATTAGTTGAGCACAAAGAAGCACAATGAAGCAGCATTCATCTTCTGCAGCAAGGTCTCCTCCAGCACCACGTGAATCAACATTCCCCTGCACCATCTGTGGTTTCCAGGCACAGGCTGCAGAGTCAGAACGCTTATGATGAACAAACAAAACAAAACAAAAAAAAAACAAGATTCAGAGGAGCTTTTAGAGTTATTAAAATCTTCACCTAATGGTCAGTTTAAATTAGAAAATGTGTTATAATGTCACACTGAAGGTGGAGACCATTCAAAGTTAGTGGAAATTATAAAGATTTAAAATTAAAATGAGGTAATGCTTCAAAAAGAAATCATGCATTCAATAAAATGATGATGTAGTTACATTAATGAGACTAGATCAATGACTTTACATTTGCACATATATTATCCTGCATGATGCGAGAAAAATATGTGATGTGCCTTAATATTGCAATAACATAACATGTGCAATATATGAACATATACTGACATGCATTTAAGCTATAATAGTCCTTTTTTTCGTCCATCTATTGTTTTTTTACACATTACCTGTGTTTGAAATCTGAAAAAAATACTTTCCTCACTAAATTGGCACCAGCTCATCTGCGGGTGGATAGTAGACTCAGGCCTCCATCAACCAGGTGCTGTGTCAGAAAACTTTGCTTATTTAGATCAAATAATTGTTTTTATTTGTTGAAATAAATTCAGACTTGTAATGTATTTATTGAAAAATGCTCATATTTCAACAATGAACCAAAGGCCTTTTGTTGTGCAGCTCTATACTCACTACGTGTGGAGACTGTTCAAAGTTCATAAAAGGTGACAGAAATAAAGTCAAGATAAAAACATTACATGGATTTTTACAACGATGCTCTCACTGACACAAGAGCCTGAGTCAACACAGTCATCGTATTTCATGACATTTCAATTGATTGTTTACAGGAAACCGCCTTTACATTGTGAACTGTTAAAGGACTAAGTCTAGTGATATCTTAGAGTTTTCTTAACAAATCACGTGCTAAGGCAAAATATGATTGTTGTGTTTCTCAGTATTCTATCTGCGGAACGACCAAATAATCCATTCCCTGATTGACCTCGACAAAGTTCAAGTTATGACACACCAACAAGCCCATCAATAAAAACCATGAATGAACCCAATTATGAGCGTTTTCTTGAAATAATTTTGACAAAAGTAAGGGACATTAAAGCCCACGCGTGATCACAACGTGTCCGCTTGAAAGCACAACTGTGCAACGCTTACACCTTCATGTTACTTGTTAATGTAATAAGCTATACCTGTGATTAAATTAATAAAAGGCTTAATTTTAAAGCACAACCGTGTCACTGTCACACCTACATGGAAAGCAGCCCTCGTTAATGTGATAAACTAAACCTGTGATTAATCTACTGATTTAACTGTTTGACGACAAAGGCGAGATTTACAGATAAAGTAACATGTTTAGTCAAAAAAATTTTTATCAATCCATGGGAACATCTCTCTCTCTCTCTCTTTGCAGCATGAATTATTCATTCAGAAAAATTCAAACACTAGAAATGTATTTATTCATACCTGTCATTACAGTATGTAGCAGTTAGGTGTCAGTCAATGAGATGCTAACCTTTTCCTTACCTCCACATCACATTCTAAACATGATCAATCTGACCATGTTGTCATTTTGGTTTGGGAGCAGCAAAAAAAAAAAAAAAAAAAAAAAAAAAGCTCAGTGCTGAAGCTGATAGACAAAAACACACCACTGGCTCAATCTCAAGAGGCTCCGACGACTGGTCAATAATTCAGAGCAGAGACCGAAATGTTATCAGGAAGCACAAAGATAGTGGACAGTAGAGGAGAAAAAAAAAAAAAAAAGCAGTGAAAAAGTGCTGAGAGTAAATATGGGGGTTGTATGAAGGCTAACTCCTGTTCGCCTCTTTCTGACCCAGAGCAATAACATGTCAGCCGAGGCTTTCAGGGATTCCAGCTGTCAATCAACTAAACTCACAGGGAATGGTCGGCATGGAGTCCAGGAAAATAAATGTTTTCTGCTATTTTCTGTAGCAGAGAGGAACATGTAATATGATTTTATATGGAAGGGAATCAGGTCTAAGGAGACAAAGAGGCAAACAATAGATGATGCAGTATCGATCAGTGTCAGCAGCGCTAATGCAAATCACTGCAGAGAATATTTGCACGAGTCGGAGTAAGCAGCTTAATAAAAGCATGACTGATGATGAGAGATATTAAACTGGCCAGTAGCAACCAGGCAGGCAAATGATACAGATAATGATCTACAAATACAGAGTCAACACACAGAGAAGTGCGGACGATTTGCTCAATGAAATGCAAACGCCTACAGTCACTGAAATATAACAAAACAAGTTGTACCCTGTTCTTATTTAGAGAAAAGAGCTGGATTCTGTAGATGTTTCGCTATGATTGTTACAGGCCCATTCATAAAAACACCTGTTCAGTTTCACTAGAGCTGTGATCTTGTTGTTTTCTTCTGCTCAAACACGGCTCACATGTTTCCCGACGACACGGTCACAGTACAAAATCTTACCCTCTCAGAATCAAACACTGATACGACGGACCAGATGTTTTATTAATGTTACATCAAAGCAGTAAAGACGGCTTTTCTTCTTCAGAGCAAACAGCCAAAGGCATGTCACGTCTTAATGTTGCTGCCTGCTAAACAGGAGGGGTCTCGCAGCGCTTGCACGCCTCTGTTCTCCAGAGGAACTGACTCCCAGCAGGTACAAGGCGGATCTTTTGTCAGGATCAGGGTACACCTTGAAAAATAATGATGCTTTGTAGAGATTTGACAGCTGGTGTGCTTATCAAAAAGGCACAGCGGCGGTGAAAAAAGTAAAACTGAAAGGCTTTTTAAAAGTGTGAAAAAGTCAGTTATATTGTTATTTAATCAAACAAATTAAAGAAACAGTTTGAGGTTGTTTCTTTTGGTTTAAGTTCACACAAATGTTCCTTTTACTGCACCTGTAATCAAAATACTCTGATGTTAAAAGGAAATGATGCTTGATAAATACATTATTATAATAAGCTACAATAACAGCACCTCAGAGTCGACTGTACCTTCAGGGTCTGTTAAGCAAACTGGCTCTGAAGTACCACCATCCTCCCCCTCTATATGTACGCCACCTCCCACCTACTCACCAGGGCACGTACATGCAAATGACAATCTGTTGCCGTACTAATTAAGGTCTAGGTCATGTGAAAAAGAGAGCTGTGTGACTCCTTCAGCGTTTTTATGAACCAATCACGCTGTGAACAGCCTATGGGAAAAAAGAAGTAGGCACTGTAACGTTTTAAAAAGGGCGTCAGGAATCATCTTTAGAGCAGAGCGCCAGAAAATAAAAACAGGCGACATGATTTATTCTGCCCTGCCCGTATTATGCCCACAGGGGTTTCCTTACTGGCTTATCGTCCATCCTCTCCGGGAAACATGACTCGGTTCTGCACGGCAAGTCAACCAGGAAATCAATAGCATGATGTCACTGTGACAGCAGGTGGATATCATCACCAATACTGGGAATACATCGGGGGAAAGCATATTCACAAATGCAGCAACATAATACTCCGCAGATGGCCTCAAAAAGTATAAATTGTTTAATGACTGCATCGTCACGTCTGCTATGTGAATAATTCAGTCTTTTACTTTTGGATAAGCTGTAGAAACAACATCCAGTTCAGTTTACACAGGCTGGGTATTGGCAAGGACCGGAATAAAAGATACGATGTATGTAACAGGATACACGAGTCACGATCTGATGAAGTATTGTGATACGTGGCAATGCTCCAAACTATTTGTTTAAAGATTTATTTTCTGGGCTTTTTGTGCCTTTATGGAGAGATAGGACAGTGGATAGAGCTGGAAATCAGGGAGAGAGAGAGAGTAGGGAATGACCTGCGGGAAAGGAGACGTAGGCTGGATTCGAACCCGGGCGGCCCGCTTTGAGGACTATAGCCTCCATACATGGGGCGCGCGCACTAACCACTGCGCCACCAGCGCCCCAATGCTCCAAATTCATCACTGAAAATGTAAAAGTGGAGCTGAGAAAACAGCTTGCTTTGTTAATTAGTCAAACTATTTAATTCAAAATTGACACAAGAATATATTTGTTTTTTTGTGATTAGAGGAATTTAGGGAAAATATTTTTTTTAAATATATTTTGTGTGAGGGGCGGGAAAATGGATATAATATTGTGGAAAAACATTGCGATACTTTGCTGTAAGGATTTTTCTGAGCACAGCCCTGCTTCATAAAGTTTAAATTAACCTCAAAGTAAAAACAGAAGGAAGACGTGTTTCACATGTTGCTTTTGGATTCAACTCCTGTTTTTGTGAATCAGCGCTCTTCTTTTTTTTAAAATCTAAACCTGACTCTAAAACATGTCACCTTCCCTGATCAGAAAGAGGATTGTTAAAGGATATGACTGAAATACTCCAGTGGAAGCATTACACAACATTGCATTGGCTTAATTACTCAAGCCTTTTCTTGCATCAGAATGTGTTTACACAATCCTTATTTATGACTGTGAGCGTTTCCCCTCTCGTGACGGACAAAGACGCGGGTGTCTTTGTTCAGGCGGCGGCGACATGTGGAGAGCAGCCTTTTGCTAATGGAGTCTGGTGTGAGTGATCCTTGCAGGAGACCTGCGTGGTGTGAGGGAACACACAGATTCCTGCTCGCCCAGCCATTTGTGCCGAACCGACTTTTACAAATTATCTTGCTGACCACTTCCTGGTCTTCAAATCAATCACTGCAATCCATTAAGACGACCAGAAGGGATGAGAGAGGTTTAAAAGTGTCTTTACAAACTCATCACTGTGGAAGTGGGTGTACGAGCTACATACTTTCTGTATTATATAGCTGTCGAGAAAGCATACAAGGCTGTTGTGAAATGAACTGTTTGATAAGATAATGTATCCATTCTTACATCAAAGTGTCAAATTCCATTTTCTCATTTCTGTCAAATGCTGTCTGAAGTGTTTTGGAGTAAACAGTTATTTCATCTAAGTTTCAGTAACACATAGCAAAATAGAAACGTTTTATGACCCCCGGTCCAAATCCTTTGCTGATGGGAGACAAAGTAAAGCCTAGGTTGATAAGAAACCATCTTTCTTATCCACCAATCATTCCTTTTATGAAAGGCTAACATATCACATTGCCTTAGTGGCCATAGGAAGCAAATGTGATCCTTAATATTGATCCAGTTCAGTTTGAACTCAGTCGCCTCAGACTGCAGAATCATTGTTGTTGTAGCAATAACCATACAGACGCTCTTTGAGTCAACTCTGATATACTTTTCTTAAACCGATGTATAGCCAGTGTTTGTTCAAAGGACTGCTGTATAATACTGGTAAAGTGCAATATATGCTGTTTGAACTTTTTTTTCCAATGGTAAGTGCCTCTTGGTTTAAATGTGGATGGTTCTAAGTTTTTATTTATTGATGCTACTGTGGAGGAAGCTAAATGTGCTCAGCACTTGAGTCCAAAGACAAATTTCCCCTTGGGGGAAATAAGGTACATCGTATGGTATGGTACGGTATCTCAATCACCTTTAGCCATTTTGTAATAACAAAACAAATGGGGGTTCAAAAATGTCATAGACCACGTCAACCGACATTTCTTTGAGATTATGAGCTTCAAATAAAGGGATTTATTGATTATTAGTGTTTTACTTGTGTGCATTGTACACACGTGTATTGGCTTTTTTTTTTGTAATGCAAACGTTTACTGTTATTTAAAAGTATGATGATATCTACAGAAAAAAGTCAAACTAAACTAAATATAAGCTACAGCTTAGTATCAGACATTGTTCCAGCTGTGCTGTCAATCAGTGAGTGCTTATACAGTCCCCATTAGCCTTAGAGAGCATCCTAACAGTCATACATTTTCCCTCCATCTTTTGTGCGTATAGCAGGGTGTCCCCCGAAGCTGTTGATAACCGAGACAGGCTCTTGATCCAGCCTCATTCCAGCAGAGACGTGTGAAAGTCAAGCATCTCTGAGCACACAGCGAGACGCGTCTGCAGCTTCACACTTTGAATACATTATTCATCAGAAAAATCTAACGTTTGCAGACCGCGAGGCATCGTCTCTTATGAAATCTGGTCTGACTCTGACCCTGTGGCTCAGACGACGCTCTACTGGAAAGGCATGCTAAATAACAAAAGAGATGATTGACAATCCACATACTAGATCAACATTAGGTTTGATTCTAGTAATGAAAAAATACATTAAATTTCCAATTTGTTCCATTTCTTAATCCGATAATGAATCAAATATGTTAAAGCAGAGGTGATCAGAGCAATCAAATTACTTCAATAAGCACTGCATATTTCCAATTTATACAACAAACTTGAACACAGGCAGACATGACGTTTGTATGTAGGTCCTAAAAAGAATTATAACAAACAGAAACACATACATCTCTTTAAGGAAAGACGTGTGCTTATAGGAAAACCAAACCTTACACACAAATCCGTATTCTCTGCCCTCAATTAGCTATTTTGGGAAAGTTGACAAATCTCTCAATGACTGATATTCTGTGAGGCATGCTGGGGTGAAATTTCTTTTCATAATTAAAAACTCTTGAGATGTGAGAAATGCAAATCCCCCATCAGAGTGAGACAGGACATGTTGCTTTGTGGAGCAAATTCATATTCATAGCATGTTTTCTGGTATAAATTGTGTGTGTGTGTGTGTGTGTGTGTGTGTGTGTGTGTGTGTGTGTGTGTGTGTGTGTGTGTGTGTGTGTGCTTCATTTCAGTGAAAATGGAGCAACACCTTTAATTTTTTTATTTTCTGATACGAGACATTTGTTGTGTGTCCCTGATTTAAAAGGCCATGTTTAAAAGTTAAATCTAGTCATGTGGCCTTTTTATCACACCTAAGTGATGAAATATGATTCTTAAAGAGCAACCCTAATAAATAAAAACAAAAAAAGCATTCTCCTGTTTCCAGGAAAAAGATAACGGTCATGAACACACATCAATGTGAATGAACTTTCCGACCTCCAGTTTCCCAGTTAATGAGATAAGACGGCAACATCTGAAATTCAACAACAAACAAATAATCCAACACGCACACATGACCCACATCATCACCAAAGCCTCTAAATGTATGCTCACACAGACCACCCAAACAACACACACACCCCCACACACACACACACACACACACACACAGAATGACAAAATAGAGGCCACGGCAAGGACATCATCTATCACACTGACATGTACAACACCCCAACTAAAAGAGACATCAGCGCACACACACACACACACACACACACACACACACACACACAAACACACACAAACAATTTCCAAGAGCCGTAAACAACTAATATAAATAAGAGAGCGGATTCTCCCTCCATTTGCCTTACACACTCATTGACCTTTTAATTTCACTACAACACAGTGTACGGTAATATAGACAAAGATTACAGTGTATTACACGGTTTACAGCTTTGATGGTTATATTTATATAATTTACTCCATTTTATGTGTTAAAGAGCCACATAAAAGGACATTAAAGGTGCACCTAATAAACAGGTACGTCTGTTTAAGTGGATACATACACAGCTATGATGTCTAGAACTGCGAAATGTAAACTATAATTCAAGATAAACAAAAAAAATCTAATTAAATTCTTAAAGTGTGCGCAGTGTGTTTTCCAAGGTGTTATCCAAACGGTTATAAAATGAAGATATTACTCAGAGGCTCCGACTCGACCCTGCCTCACCGCCATAAATACAAGGCGCTTGTCAGGCCATCGCAGCGGGAATGTGACAGACTGAGCGCTGCACACCAGCACGTATGCGGCGAAGTGATCATGACCACTTTAATAACTATCAGGAAGATTTGTACTTGTCACTGGCTCCTTAGATAAACCATCCCATCCTCAGCGCTCATAAGCAGAGGTATAAATCTTACACTCTCGGCCTATACAACAATAACAGCAATATATCAGAACAGAAACGACCCACAGGACTCAAATTGATTTTTTCCCCCTCAGTGGACATTTATGTTTGATCACTGAAGATATGTAAGCTCATCTAATACAAAAACAGGTTATTAAAATCCATAAGGGCCAGACATTTGTTCTGGATCAGCTCTTCAGATTTAATCACATTTATTACCAAAGAGTCTATTAAAGTAAAAAAAACAGATTGCTGCTGGGAATGCTGCAGGCTTTTGTTTATCTTGAATTGTATATTTATTAAAACCAGGACTTTACCTTAAACACACAAAATTTTGTTTATGTGAGTGTATTTAAGTTAACTAATCCACTGTGTTGTACTCCACCTAAATCAAACTGTACGCAGTATTGTAAACAGTACACTGGAACTTAAATAATGGGTCTTTTTTTAGCCCGGGTTATGTGCCAAAGCACATTGTTAATTACACATTTGAATAGTGATTCAGCCTGTTTTTACAAAGCCAATAGAGCAGCAGCTGGAAAGTGCTTACACTGACAACATTTTTCTGAAATTTACAATCGGCCGACCAAATTCAACTTCATCACAGCTGTCAACACAGATAAGCAGTTCTTTCATGTCCGCTCAAATGTACATGTTTTTCCACCTCGAACACACACAAATCCAATTAGTTTCTAATTGAGTGTTACAAGGCTCATTGATTATGACAGAAGCCGTGCAGCAGGCTGAGCCGCAGAAATATATCCCCAGTAATTAGCCCCGCTGCACCCAGGAGGCCTTCAGCGGGCATGACTTAATATGGAGGCAATAATTCTCAATATTACTCACTTTGAATTGACGTTTCCATCATTTAAATCTTAATATTTTATAGGAGAAGCAAATGAAGAATGAAAGAAGAACTATTCCTATTTCAAAGCAGATACAGTTACATTTGTTTTATTCATCTGCGAGGAATCTTAAATCAAAACCAAACAGGTTGAAAACAGCTAGTATCAGAAGTATGTTCAACTTGAAGTCAATAACTTCACAATCTAATACTTTTTTAAAAATGGAAGCCATAAAGCAGATTGCTAACTCAGTTGCAAGACTGATTTTCTAAAGAAAAACTGGAGTCAGCTGGTTAATAATTATTACGCTGTGCTTTTCCTCATGAAGTGATTACTTTAGCTTCTTTGAGAGTTATTTTGAGACAGTTTTCAGCATCGGTCTAAATACAGTGAAAAACAGAGGAACAGCAGCAGTCAGAGGGGTTGGTGTACTTACATGTTTTTTTCATGAAAAGGTCATTAGAAGGTCATCTCGTCCCAGTGTGGAGGAACAAGTCTAGATGCATCAAGAGCTTCAACTTGAAATCTCCACGTCAGTGCCTTTTCTAACTCTAGTGGAGAGAAGAATCATAAACAGTTCTTTGGATTTAAACCCTAAATGTAAAAATACTTAAACACAAATAACATTATTGCAATGAGCATGAACAGGTATGAGATGGGTCTATTGAACATCATACAGTATGTTCTTTTAAAAGGTATCTGCTTTGCAGTCATATATACGAGTCAGTGTGTCATTGAAGTGAAAGACAGAAGAGTGATTAGATAAACGTTTAATGCTCATCTTGTTGCCACAGTCCTGATAAAATGATGCTCATACTGAAAGAATATGATTTAAGTCTTGACATTTCTTTATCATAACTGCTTTAGACTGGCATTGAGGGAATGACATTTAAAGGTTTATTAAAATAAAACTGTTTTTTAAACCGCTCTAAATAATATTCTTACTGCATTTTTTATGTTGATGCAGTTTCTCTCATTTCAAAAAGGATGCAGTTACATTAAAATACAGCTGCAGCACAAACTTGCACCTTGATTTAAACCACAAATGAGACTTGACACAAGAGGGACAATGTGCATACAGCAGCTTGGACCAATTATTTCATTCAGGAATATAAAATACTTGTCTGTCTTAACTTGAACGTGAACTCTTTATGTTTCACAACAACTTTGCATGCAGCAGCAATTTTTATGATGTTCTCCCCACAACAAGATAGAGACAGGTCAAAGTCCCAGCCAGACTCCACATGTGAGGTGTGCAGGAAAAAGAAAAGATTGCTCTTGAAATTGTTGTGTTTTTTTTGTTTTTTTAGATAATTATTAATCCATTGAGGGTGTATAGCAAAAAATTGATGCAAACTCGGTCACTTAAGGTTCTCCAGACCGACACAGACAGGAGGCACAGGTGAACAGAAGGTAAGACATTTCAAAACGTAAAGTGCACTGTTGACTGAAGGCTCTATATGTTTGAGGGACTGCAACCAGGTCAGGTAATGTAAAAAAAAAAAAACAGTCTTTTATCTTGCTAACAGCTTTGACATTATTCAATCTCGCACACCTGTCTGGCCCTGCAGCACACCTGCGCGCGGGCGGTGAGTAGGCTAACATCTCTGGGTTTTTATTAGCCGGTGTAGCTGATAATAAGTCCAGCCACGATAAAAGAAAAAATCGTGTGTGGCGAATTTTATCGTCTGTAACGAACGTTTTCCTTTTCACAAAACGAGCGCTGGTCGATTAATTCATGAAATACTACAGGGGTTAATTGCTCATGGAGATGGTAGAGGTACTTCAGAGCATGTGCATGGAAGTCACAGGTGACTGTGTTACCTGTTGCTGCTCTCAGGCTGAAAGTCTCTTTGTTGTCGGGAGATCAATCTTAACTTCAAAGGCATGAAATTTGTCCACGATGGAAACCAAACCCAGAGGATCTGTCTGCAGCTGCCTCTGCACACACACACACAAAAAAGAGTGGAGCATGCTCAGCTGTGGGATTTAGGCCAACAATGATCCGCCTGCTCCGACGCTGCAACAACAGTGCATTTGTCAAAAAAAGAAATCCCCGTATGTTTAAAACAGGAAAATGTAATCTGTAATATGTACCATGGTCTGCTGAAACTGTATATTTGTAACATGGAGAACAGTGTGTTAACTTCAGAATGAGCAAAGAACTGAAGTCACCTTAAAGGTAGACTCACTGTTTTTAGGGGCCTTTTTCATGCAGTATGCACTATCTGGTAAATCTTATGAAGGATTACACCACATCTTTAGGAGGAACTGATGTACTTTTTTTTAGTCTCTTTCATTTTGAATGAGTTCATGGATGCTTTAATTGCTGATGCTGTCCAATATGGAAGGGGATCTCTCAATATGGTCTGTGACCCAAGATAGCAATAATGTCTTGATACAGCAATTCTGCTGTAATTAATATTTTACAGTAAGACAAATTGTATACTGATAAATCTTGACATGTATGACTGAAGAACATAAAATGCCTCTAAAAGGGTAAAGTGCAGGATTTATTTATTTATTCAATTCGGTTTGGTGTCAATTTCACCTTACCTTTTAAAAAAAAGAAAAAGAAAAAAGCTTCAAAATTGATCTCATTTACACCTTCTTCTATCATGCTGTCTACTTCTTCTTTGGCCTATCAACTTCTATTCACAGCACCTTCAGTCATGTCTTCACCCCACCATTAGCAGTCTTGAAGTAAAGAGTCAAATTGGCAGGAAAATCTGCAGAGCGCCATATTTAAAAAAAAAAATAATCAAATATTGATATTTTCCACCAGCGATTTGATAATTATCTCTAAAGAGTATAGGGACGGTGACCAATTGCCACATCCATATTTGTCCAAGCACCTTCTGTCTAGACTGTTAATGGATCAGTATAATTCAACTGTTTGTTTTCCCAAGCCTTTATTAATATTTCCTACCAAAAGGCTTTATCGCTGACTTCCTAAACCTAATACAACTGACCTGTCTGTCTTGATCAAACCACTTCTCTGTGATGTAATTATAACTGTTCAAAGCATTCTTTGTTCAGTGACCCCTTTATTTGCTGGAGCTGCTTTGTCTTCAGGGGCACATTTGATTTTTTGGCTTATGTGCTTGAGAAACCCTGTTTTCTCAGGAGTGTTAGTGGGGAAGTTTTGTTGCTTTTTAAAGAAGTGTGACTTTAATCCCGGCATAATGAGCGTATGCTGACACAGAGGCAGTGTTGCAAAACGTGAAATGTGCAGGAATGCAGACATGTTGCATAAGCTCTTTACAACCTTTGTTTACATAAATGTACATATAAAATTAGAAATGTGAGTGCATTTGTTGTTGCTTGATTAGCCGTGTTGCAGGAAGAAAATAATTGGAGTTAAGGTGTTGCCATGACCCCTGGCCTCCCTCTGTCTGTGGCACTCACATGCTTGTGCTTTACTTGCACTGGAAGCTCTGAGATGATTTCCCCCTCCTGCAAAATTATCTTCCCATAATTAAATCCCTAACCGCTGTAAGAGCTCGTGACTTTTTGCAGGAGAAATGGGAAACAGCAGTTTAGATCGTAGAAGAGGACAAACAAAAGTTTAAAAACTACGATGTACTAAAATAATGTAAGAAAAAATAATTCAAATCTGAAGTGATGGTTAGATTTTCTTTTTGTTTGTTTATTTCCTATGGTTCAAGAATCCAAGAGGATTTCATATGTAACAGGGTTTTGTCATGACTCAGGGGTCAGGACTCCACTGAGGCCAAGATCCAACCTGCTGGGATTGAGCCTTGAAGGTCACAGTGACATATTAAAGACATAAAACGTGTAAACAAACTTATCTTGAAGTTTCCCAATGAATTATTGGGACAAATGAACCACCTTCACTTCATTTAATCAATATATCAAGCAGTCGATTTAAATGGCAGACGACCGCCCAATGTTTCAAAGCTCAGGGTGCCCAAATCACATTTTGAAAAAAAGAAAAATATATAGAAATGCCAATGGTATAAATAAAACAAACACTGAGAATCCTCACCTAATAGTAATACTATAGAAAAAGACAAAAATGTATTAATTTTAAGCAATAACATTAAGAGGAAAGTAGGGGAAACATGTAGGGCACATTTATATGGGAATGTGTTTATACATTAACAGTGCAGTGTGTCTGTTTTAGCTGTGATAACTTTATGTGGTGTGCAGTGACAGCTTTAAATGATTATCTCTGAAAGTATATGTTTGATATTTGTGTTTCTACTCTCCTTCACTGGTACACACATTGAAGAGTTCTTCATGTTTATTGTTGGATATTATTTCTGCCCAGGAGCTAACATCAGTGACAAGACACCATTGTCATTTATATAAAAAAAAACTTCTCGGGACAGTGTTACTGTACTTATTGTTAAATCAATCTGATTGACATATAAAGCTGTAGAACTTGTTTCATGTTGGACAACATACATTTTTCCCTCTCTTATTACATTTGTACTTCAGAGGATGGCATACAGTTTGGATATTACAAGCCTTTCCCTTTTAAAACAATGTTGCTTTTAGAATTTCTTGTAAACAGCATGTTAATCTCCAAAAACCAGTGTTGTAAGCTTATTGCAAAGGTGTCTGGTTTAGAAAACAGTTTTCACATGGAAATGCCCTTGGACACCTTTATCTTAATGTATCTGTGAAAGACAAAGTGCTGGGTTCAATGACCCTTTCCTTGATCCCTATCAGGCTGAAGGTGCAGAGTTATGAACTGAGGTGTAGTCTGACTGGCTGTCTGTCTATCTGGCGCGATTTGACTTTTTTTTTTGTTCTGCTAATTTACATAAACCTAGTCTTGGTAACCTTTCCAAAATGTAACTGATCCATGACTGAGAGGGAACAATGTGAGAATTTCCCTGTTATCAATGTGGAACTCCTCTCTGATAGAACCCATCTCTCCCAGCGGCTCACGGTCCTAACTTCAGTTTCATAACCCTGCACACCTCACCACTTCTGCATCAGGCCACAGGTCTAATAACACTACCCCAAAAGTAGATGTAATCCCAGTAAGCTGCAGGTGGCCTTCCAGATTGGCTACTTGGATCTCCACATTTTTCCCTCCTTTCACACACAGCCCCCCTCTCACTCTCTCCCCAGGCTCCCAGTGTGGTGGTAACCCTCAGCTGAAAAAAGGGCCTTTTGCAGGGTGGAGGCAGCACGCTCGCAGCAGCCAGGACCTGTCACATTACTCTCAGCTCCACAGCGGGACGAAGGCACCTGAATACAGGCTGTGAGGGAGGGTTACAAGAGTGCCAGACGCCTCTGCTGCCGCTGAGAGTACAGCTTGGGACCTGGGAGAAACTTTTTTCCCTCTTGAGTGAAGGCGATTGCAGCAGTGTGTCGCCAGAGATTGGGGTAAAAAGTGCTCTGGCTACTTTTTAAGACTTTGGATCTGATAGAAAAAGAGACGGCACAATGGATCAGGATGCAGACTATGAGTACCCGGATCTGGATCCTCTGCCAACCAAAATTGAAGCAGAGTAAGTCCATTCTTATCCTTTATTTGTGAACTTCAGACCAGGACTTTAACAACTAAGTTTAATTTTCTGTAGTTTTTTGTACTTGTACTATTTCTGTAAAATCCCTGTCCTAAAAAAGTAAACTGTGATTAATGTTTCTGTTAGTTCCACAAACTTTCTAAGTCTGAAAAAAAAAGTGTGTCGATATTTGGTGACGCTTGGCACACTTTGCCTGTGCAAGTATCAGTGTGAGGTAATGTGTCTGTTCACATCACTTGTCCTATTACAGTAGAAGCTGCCTCATTTTCATGCCTGCAGTTAACAGCTTGTGCAGGAAGTTTTGCCCATGTAACCTTTCAGAAAATCTACGACACTATTTATCAAAACACGAGTGCATTAAGCCTAAAATAACTCACCGTTAAAAGTTTCCCTGTATAGGCTTCAGCCACAAAAAGCTAAGATGTAGCTCATGGCACCATGCAAAGTTTCAACGACTGTTATTGATGAAAGTCTTGTGCGTCATTCTTTGCACCCATAATGCAACTGGGCACTAGGCACTGGGCAGTTATTTCCTTCTGAGCTGTTCGACTTAATCTCAGTGCTTTTCCGTGTAAAAAGTCCTCATATAAACAATGGTGCCAAGCGGTTATTAGCGAGAAATACGACGTGTATTAATGCTTCAGATTATCAACATGGCAGTATATGATGGAAATGTAATTTGTCACCAGCCGCTGTGTTTAGCTAAATTAATACAGTTGTCATTTAAATGAATACACCGCGTTGAGTTGTGGTCTGAATAAAAGCTTTTGTGGTGCCTCAACTGTAGCTAACTATTAGATTTAGCTCACCCTTAAGAGTCTTCAAAGCTTAATTTAACATTTCCTAAATTTGCAAATGATTTGCTATCCGAGTGCCGAGTTACAAATTCACACATTGTTTGGAAGGGGGAAAAAAAAACTCAACTCTGGAAGCTGCCTTTCTCTTCCATTAACAGTCCCATTAAGTAGCTGTAGTATTTTCCTCAGTACATCTACCAACTTAGGATCCTTGATTTGTAAGGCCGCCTCTGAAAACCAGAGTTGTAAACCCTCCATGACCAAGCATTCCTCCTCTTCCAGTGTACTGTAACGTGAACATAGGTATTTGTTGTTTTGCCTGTGTCACGCTGGTACCAATCCGGTTTAAAATGCAAATCTCTGCTGCAGGATTTCAGCTGCGAAGTTTCCAGCGACAAATGGTGCTCACAGTGACGTGTGAACAGGTTTAGTGAGGTGTAGGACCGCTCAAATCCTTCAGTCTTAAGTTTAACTTTGTTTTGCTCATGTGTGAGTGTTTTGTTCCCTTTTTTTAGAATAATCCCTCCATGTGACCCCACGGCTGATGACAGACTCTACCACATATGCATCACTGCAATATCTGTAAGTCCCTGTTGGATTAATGAGACACAACATTACACAGTCCTGAGAGTCACTGGCTCTTCAGTGCCCCCCCCCATGTAGTGGGACATAAAGCATACTTATGATTAAACTCATTGAGACAGTACACAGTTTTACTGTAAAAGCCAGCGGTTAGGTTGGTAGTCTTGCTTATTTTGTCTATTTTTAGCAACAAAAAAAAACTGGTGTTGATGAAAGTTAACCTTTGAGCTCTTAATGGTGAAATTTCAATAATGATCACTATCACTTTGTTTTGTCCCCAGCCAAATTCCCATAATGATTCTTCTTCTTTTGATGTGTGATTACAGACGGTCTTAGTTATTGGTCCAGACTGACCCGTTTTAGAGAAAAGCAGCCTTTCCGTCCTTGTGTTTCCTAAACGTTTCACAGGTCACGACAGGTCACTGAACTCTTCCTGGTCAGTGATCCTGACTGATGACAATTCTTTCACACCACATCCACGGGGGGAACACTAATGAGACATCAGGGTTTGCTTTTGTGACAACATCACGTCTTTTTTGAGCGTGTAGCAGAATGAGACCTGAACAGCGGGGAGTCCACAGCTGCAGACAGAAAACTAACTGATGAATCTTTCTCTCTCCCCCCCCCCCCCCTCCAGTTTGTTGTCATGCTGATCCTTGCAGTGTTAGCCAGACGCACAAAGGAGGGGTACAGACAGAAAGGACTCCCAGGTTTACTCAGGTGACGCTTTATTTGATGTTTTAAACATGTTTTCTTAAATGACATGAACTTAAATGTGATATCAAATAGCTGCTTGCTTTTTCCGCACCATGCTGGTCGCTGTGTGGTTCAAGTTATTGGATTGCATGTATATACAGTATGTTGACCTTTTTTTGGAACCATATGACTTCCATATGATTTCTAATGGACTTGTTCTGACCCTGAGATCAGTGTTTGTATAGGCCTTCGATACTGCATCATATTCATTATCAGGTATATGGAGATGAACGCCAGTTAATACACTCATCCAATACCAAACCAATTATACCCAAAAATCAACTAGTTTTTGGTAAATTACCATTAGAGGATTAAAAACAAAAACTGTGTGATGCTAGCAGAAGTGAGATGTTAGTCAAAGCTAGCGGAGGTCAACGTTTTCCCCTCAATATGTATATTTTGTACCCTGTGAGTATCTGAGCGGTACTCAGTGTTGGTAAATCGTCCGGTCTTGGTATCAAATTTGGTATCAGGAAGGAAAAAAGTGCATCAGAACATCTGTTTTTTTATGACTTTTTTGGCCGTGATTCATATCAGCATGTCATTCTCCTTATGGAAACTCTTTGGTTTGGTTTTAAAATTTAAAACAGAGGGAGCCATTGAAATGATAAGTTCTAATGGTAGATTGACAACATGGAAACATGAAGATATTGAGATAAGAAGTGTGTCATTGTGGTACTCTGAACTTTTATAAGGGAGTTAAAAACAATTTTTCAGTGTTATGTTTTTTTTCATTTTTACAATAACTAAGGTGATTCTCTTGAGAAATTGGCCTCAAAACATCTGTTCTAGTAGAGACCTTAGGTGCACAGTGCAGGCTTGAATATCAGACTGCTCTCATTCAGGGTAACGTGAACGTGTGTTTTTTTTGGAGGTTTGCACTGATAACAGCTCTCATGCTCTTCATTGATATTTTTCATACTCTGACATAAATGTAAGCGACGGGCATCTCAGCGAAATACAAATACAAACACAGCAAATGTCTGATATAGTTGAACCCTGTTGACATTTTTTATAGTTTGTTAACTTGAACTTTATATACCCTCAAATGGTCCTTTTTGAAGTTTGTCATTCCTGCTCAATAACGGCTTCATCCAAAATGTGAGGCTGGTAACACGTGGGCTCTAAATACCTGCTGCTTGATTTCACAGTCCGGTCAACTTCCTGGATCATACGCAGCACAAGGGCCTGGCAGTGGCCGTGTTCGGAGTGCTCTTGTGCAAACTGTGGGGTCTAGTTTTATCACCAAACCCCCTACCTTTCACGGCGGACGCAGAGAATAAACGTAAGGACTTCTATTAGGTTCAGAAGAATGTTACAGAATGCAAATCATCTAATCATCTTTTAGAAGTAATTGTGTGTTTCTGCCTTTTTTATGAGCAAATACTAAAAGAATTGTAAGCTGCATCAAATGTTTCTTCACAGCTGTTTTTTTCCCCCTGTGTTATGTAATTGGATTATTTATTATTTCCATGTGTCTCTGTTATTTTCAGCTTGGGAATGTGATTGTAAGCTTTGCAAAAACGTTTTTTGACATTACATAAGACTTGACTGTAAGGAGTCGGTCCCTTGCTTTTTAACACAACCACCTCTCAACAGTTAGTCTGCGAGGTTTGAAGGGCCAATTCAGTAAAGATGGATCTTAAATCATTCTTAGTTTTCCCACATTTCAGGGGATGAAGTTTGTGTGGTGTGTAAACGTGAAGCAGAAGTTGTGTTAAGAATTTAATCACAGAAATCAGTACGTGTTCCTTTTTGGCACCCTGGCTCCTCACACACTTTTTTGCTTTATTTGCAGAATATTGGGTGATACTGGGAGTCTTCTACTACCCCGCGCTATACTACCCTCTCCTGGCATGTGGCACTTTACATAATAAAGTTGGCTTCGTTCTTGGCAGCCTCTTGTCATGGACACACTTTGTTGTTCTCGTCTGGCAGAAAATCGACTGTCCGAAGGAACCACTGGTATGCTAACATGACTTTAACTACTTTAATGTGTTCCAGTTGCATCTTTAACTACTTTAATGGGGCAGCTATACATTTATATTTTCTATGATCATTTGATGAATTGTCAAAATCTTAATAATGTGTCACCTGTCAAAATAATCAGATTTATTTCAAAGACAGGGATGATTAGTTCTGGCCTCACCAATCAGAGGTGGTCTGTAGTATATGAGAGATGAGACTTAAAAAGATGAATATCAGGATTTTCTGCTTGATTCACGGACAAATGAAGCAGTTTTAAAGAATGGCCACAGCTCAAAACAATTAGTTCTACTGTCTGTTGAACACAATTAAGAGACTTTGTCACAGTTAATCAGTTTAGTGTGTGAAAGAGACACAGTTTTTGGATAGTTTGTCTTTTCTGTCTTTTTTTTTTTATCCTGCCATGAGCTGGCACACACACACAACGCTGCAGGGGGGCATCTGAGCTGAGCTGCAAGAAGGAGCTTAATCACATTAAGACATACGAATACTTTTTATTGAATACTTAATTTAGTACTGAATATCTTTTAAAAAATGCCGTTTTAATTCAGATATATGTGTAATATTTAATAAGAGATAACCTAACTCTAGCACCACATCTTTCACATTGGTCATTTGGAAGTCTCACATGTTTTTGTTGTATTTTGGATCCAGTTTGGCCCTCACACAGACTCCCAGTGGAACATACTGAGCTATTTCTGTTTGCTTTTTGTGTCAATGCAATGCTTTTCCTTTTTTTTTTTTTACATGAATTGCCATTGTGACCCTTAAAAACTCTTACCCTATGTTGCCAGGAGATTTGAAGTGTTCCTTATTTTTCCAGATACACAAACACTACTCCCTTTTCTCCAGCCTGCCCCAGATAGCTTGCTTGGCATTCCTCAGTTTCCAGTATCCCCTGCTTCTATTCAAGGGCTTAAAGGGCACTGAGAAGAACAACCCCACCGAGGTAAGTTTTGATCTGAGAATAGTTCTTTTGGCATGCCCGCTCTTGGCTTGGACGGCCCATATATAGCACTAATTGTTTGGCCTGCTTACATAACAAACCAGATACAAGTGAATGTGTAGCCCACGTTAACATCAGCTTTAATGATTAAAAAAAAAACTCTCTAAGACGCACATTTCTCCCGAATCCGTGCACGTGATGATTCTTTATAAGCCGCCTGCTAAAGAAGGGGCTTACCATGCTCACACAGTCTAGGCCGAGGGGAAAATGTGGAGGCCAAAGCAGCGTGCGAGTTGCCTAATCATTTTAAGGAGATTTGACGTAATTGGTTTAGGTTATGTTGGAGATCAGATTATGAAAAGGTTGCCTTGTTTTTTTTCCTCGGAGGAGAGACAATGCCGTGTTTATTTGATGCTAATCTCAGCGTGGGTGTGACAAAGCTGGTGTGAGGTGATTGTCTAGAGTTTGCCCCCCCACACACACACACACACACACACACACACACACACACACACACACACACACACACACAGGACTATACATGATGATTTAAATATGTCTAGATACTTATCATAAGGCCTAATGTAAGTGTTTTAATAATAATAAAACAACTTTCAATTAAAACAGCCACTAATTAAATGTACAGTAAAAGAATTAAGCGGCTTATTGATGACCCCAAATCAAATAATTGAAGCTCCTTCACACTGTTCTATGTATTATCATTTGGTTTCTTTAATGATTGATGTCCATGTTCCTGTCAGGATCTGAGTAGCAGCTACTATAAGGACTATGTGAAAGAATTGCTCAAGAAGAAGACCACAAAAATCAGGTGAGAATTGGAGCCTTTTATCAATAACACCTGATTGGCTGCATTGCTACTTGTTTTTTTTCTTTTGTCTTTTGGCTTCTCTAATGAGCCTTATGCGGTCTATTTTCCAAAATAAGAGCCTTGTGTTAAACTTTATTTGATGAATGATGCTCTGCTGGATGTTCAAGTTTTAAGCTTAAACCCTTATTTACAGGTAGAAACATTTTCAGTGATATTAGTAGTTTCCAAGACTGGACTATATTCTCCACTGCATACTGGTGTATACAAAACACTGACAGCTACCTGTGTGTTCAGTTAAAAATGTATCAGAAAGAACAACCCAGCCCTCTCAATCAGTCCTTTTATAATATGTTTACCCAAACTAAACCCAAGCTCACATTTGTAAAGAATGTTTGACTCTGACTGTGTAGAAACACATTTTCTTTAATGTTATGTATTTAATGACGATGTGCAGAAATGTCTCGCTGATTCACGTTCATTTCAAATGCCATGTTGAAGTACCATATTGAATGTACCTTTGCCTTCAGCACAACAAGCACAGAGACACCGAAGCTCCCTCAAAGAATAATTGATGCTGTGAAGTCGTACATTTACACACCAGTGGAAGGTAAATATGCAGTCTCTGCCTTGTCTGTGGGACTTTAGTAGTAATGACTTTTAGTGATACCTCCAGGAAATGTTTATAAAACTTCAACTTCTTCTTTTTTTTTTTTCATCCAGCTTTCCGTTTTCCACTGAAGTTGGCCGTCTCTGGTGTCGTGTCATTTATAGCTGTGTATCAGGTAAATACCACATCAGCTGAATACTATTCAATTAGACTTTAATAGTTTTAAAAAATCAAGGACAGAGAGATTGTAGCATACTTTAATATGTCTACATCTGCTTTAGATATGAACGGAAATGTAGATAAAGTAGATGATCTAAGTATAATACAGGTTCTAAGTTAAGTTTCCACATCTGTAAAAGTGAGATTGCATTCGCCCATGCTGAAAGTGATTTCTTTAACTGACAAATGTCCTGCTTTGTTTTTTTTGTTTTGTTTGTTTTTAGATGGCTCTTCTGCTGATCTCTGGCGTGGTGCCGACGCTCCAGACGGCCCGTTCAGGAGTCGATGAAGACGTTGCTAACCTTTTAGCTGGCTTCAAGATAATGCTGTCTCCAGACAAATCTGAAGTGGTCAGGATAGTGGTCTACTACATGTGGTGTGTGGAAGGTGAGTGAAGAAGCACAGGTGGCCATTTAGTTTTATGATCGATGCAGAATAATCTGTTTTATTTAGTGGAGTTACCCGCAGCTGTTTGTTTGAAATATTTTGCAAGGCTACGATAGTTTTTAACTTTCCATCTGTTTCAATAGTTTTCGTTTTGACTTTTTGTTTTCAATTTCAGTTTACTTTTAATTAGTCTGTAGTTCGTGTTTGTTAGTTTTAGTTTATTGTTTAACTTACATCTTACATCTTATTTTAGACCTCTTTTATTTTAGTTGAAGAGATTTTAAAAAGAGCCTGTTGCTCTGTTGTGTTTCTCTTAAAAGTAAAAAATTATAAACAGGAACAGAACATTTTTTAAATAATTAAATGTTAGGCTCTGTCCCAGTATCTACACTTCAGCCCTTTCTGCCCCTCAATTCTGTGTTCTCACTATGGGCTGCAAGACCTTAAGACGTATAGCTGTGGCTTGCCAATCCAAGACATTAAACAGGGACACAACTTTCACACAGGTAGAATTTCAGTCAACTTCTTAAAAGTGGTTGTCCATCTTTCCTTCATAAAGCTCGTCCACAGTGACTGTCACTGCTCCTGTGTCTATATTCAGAGCTGTAAATGCATTTGCAATTAAGACTGAAATATCCAAGAAAGCAACACAGGAAATACAGGAAGTGAATGTTCCTGCATGCTCTGATTGTCTCTGTGCTGACTTAAAGCACGTACACACTGTTCCTACCACTGTTTCTCTAATTCAATAAACCTCACCAACAGCGATCCCTCTCCCTCCCTGCTATTAATATAAAACCAACAATACATCATCCAGATCACCACAAAGAGCGGATTACCTTAAACAGAAATCAAATGGCTGTGCTTTGGTGAAGAAAATATGTACAGTATTGGTCTTCACCATCCATAGCAAAAGAAAAAGGACAGTATTTTTTGGTGTAAGAGCAGCATGTGTTCATCTACTCGTGTGTGCCAATCACAGTATTAATGGTCGGCAGGTAAACAGAGAAAGTTCTCACATGAGATCTTTACAAGTAGCCTTAAGAATATAATAAATAGATTACATGAAAGAGAAACAGCAGGTCTATTTACTCCTGCAGTCAAGAGGATCATACAAACTGAAATCCAGTCAGTCAGAGTGCTTGTGTCAAAGACAAACACTAAAGTTAAGCTCTCCCATCACTTTTTATTTAATTTAAGTTAGTTTTTTAAACACACAATACATTTCGGCAAGTTATCTTTATTTTTAAATCCTGGTTTTTATTTTTGTTCCAGTTAATGGAAATGTTTGTGCCTAATTAGGTTGTGTGATTTTTGTTACTTTTTATTCAGGATTATAATCTTGATCTGCAGAAAGTACGTGTCGGCAAATGATGATCTTTGCAGCATAAATAACCTGAGTTACATGTGCTCTTTTTTTTTTTTTGTCCTACAGTGTGCTACATCTCAGCTATAACTCTGTCTGGCTTGGTAAACCTGGCTATGCTCATGCGCTCTATGGTTCTGCATCGGTAGGTGTGAAATCAGAACTCTTTGGTTTTTTTTTTTGTCATTCTTCTATTCCCTTCTCAAAGTTTCCAAGAATAGAGCGCTTGCTTTGCATTCGGCGTCTTTCATTATAATGTGTCGGCTCACAGAGGAGTTATTATAACATAATGGAGAACTAATCACCAGACAGACAGAATAGCATTCACTCTGCGCTAACTGCTGCTGGAATTGAAATGGCTATTAAGATAAGAAATGAAATACTGAGTCATTACCATAAATTACAGCCTATTAGAAGAAATGGTATCTGTATCCAGTATTGGATTGCATTTCATGCTAAACTAGGTCTTTAATTAACAACGTAGGTTTTACATATTTCAGTTTGGCACAGTGTTGCATTGTGTTTTCTGTGTTTCTGTTTCTGTAGGTCGAACCTGAAGGGGCTGTACAGAGGAGACATCTATAATGTTTATAACTGCCAGAGAAGCATCAGGGCTTCACGGCCGGCACTCGTCTGCTGGATGGGATACACAAGCTTCACGGCAGCTCACATCTGCATTGGTAAAGCTGAAGCTTAAATCACGTTTTGCAACCGATTTTCAGCATTATTCTGATTTTGTTTCTCATTTTCTTCCCTTTAGAAATGCTGCTCAATCTTAGGTGTTATATCACATTGTTTTGTACAGTCCTGTACCTATGATTAAAACTGTTTGCTCAGCAGATGGTTGTGACATACAAACAATCCTCTTCTTATTCTTAGTCAGCCATTGCATTCTAATATTTCATCCAGTTAAAGGCTTCCTTATTTTTAGTTTCTAAATACACTTTTCTTTTTTTTTTTTTAAAAGAAAGATGAATCCACCTTGAAAGTTTGATCTCTCCCCTGTAGGCATGATGATCCAGACCTTGGTGTTCTTCCTCTGCCTCCTGGTCGCTGTCTTCCTCATCATCATACCCATCCTGTTCCAAGAGAACCTGATCGTCTTTCAGATCCTGCTGAGCATGTGGTGAGAGTCGTAGCATCTCTTTGTCATTAAACCTCACTGTAGGTTAAGTGCAAATTACCTGGTTTAACATGTTGTGATGCGAGAACTTTATAACGTCGGTTTTACTGCATAAATAGGATAAATAAAGGATTATTTTATCTTATCTTAAACTTGTAAATTCATGTCTATGGGGATTTATTGATACCATCTTGGGTCCTGTAATGGGACAAACATGTAGTTGCTGTCCTGTATGTGTATAGTGATGACTTTTCCTCAAGTATTTTGTTTTCGTTCTGACTTTTTGAAGGACATGAATCACGGGTCATTTTGTCTTTTCAGGCCCTTCTGGCTGATGATTATACTGGCTGTGTTGATTCAGCATATCACCGGCAGGTTCTGCTTCATCAAAAAAGACGGAGGCACGCGAGACCTAGACAACAGGTAATCTTTGCCATTTGTTGACTCCTGTATTCAAGTATGAGCATTAGCACAGAGCCTGTGTTTCTGATCTATTCTGTCAATCTCATTTCCAGGGGTAATCTGTTCCTGCTCACATACCTGCTGTTTCCAGTCAATGTTCTGATCGGGGTGCTGCTGGCGGTGTGGCGAATGATCATCACGGCGCTGTACAACATCGTCCACATGGGACGCATGGATATCAGTCTTCTTAACCGCAGTGTGGAGGCTTTTGACCCAGGTGAGCCACATATCCTTCACCACATTGCCAGGCTCCTGTTTGCTGAGCAGACCGAAGCATCACGTCAAGTTCACTGTCGTCTGTGATAAAATCATGTCTGTTGAGTCCTGCATTTAGCTCTGGGTCCTTTGAATATGTTTCAAATAGAAAGGGCGAGGCACGGCAATGTAATTGATTTTCATTCCTAATTTTACATTTTCTAGTGTTCTTAAGCCTCAGTCAGACAATGTCAACACATGTACCTGGTTTAATCATTGTGCTTTTGCCTTTGTTAGATGCTTTCAGTGTTTTTTTTTCTCTCCCACTGTGGAGACTTAGAGAGAAGCAATTATCTGTGAGCAAATGCATTTATTCTGATCCCACTTAGAGGCCAGAAATGTGTATCCTATCCATTTTACTCAGACTGCAGCTCAATGCAGCGCCTATTAGATCTGTATTTTGTGCACTGCGCACGACTGTAATTGCACAGCGATCTCTGAAAATGGGTGGAGATTTAAGACATCTGTTGTCAGGAAAAGCAGGTGGTTTAAAAAAAAAAAGAAGTGTGATTGTATGACCATTATGTGTGATTGCCTCAAAGCCAACATGGGGTGTGTAGTCCTATGTGTTTATTGCTTCTGCTCAGTCAGAGTGACCCCCCCCCCACCTCCCTCTCTCACTCTCCCTCTCTCTCTGTCTGTTTGCAGCCTACCGCTGCTATGCTCATTATCTGAAGATTGAGGTGAACCAGTCCCACCCGGTGATGAAGGCCTTCTGCGGGGTGCTGCTGCAGTCTGTTGGCCAGGAGAACAACTCGGCACAGAGGTCACGGGATGCTGAAGAGGGTCTGTAACACCAAACTCACCTACAGCATACTCATCCAGAAAGAGCTAATGATTCAGATGATAATATTTTACCTGTTGGGTCAGTGTATTTAAAGCTAAAACTGCTTATTTTTTAATGTTTATATTGTCAGCAAATCCCATAAAAAAGACCAAAACCAACACTTGACACACTGTTCCTATCAAACATTATCCAAACAGAAGACGATTGTGCATGTTTGGAACATTCTTCTAATGCAGATGCCGTGGTCCAAAGTAGACTCTTGTGTTTATATAAAATGTATAAAAGAAAATGCAGCACAATGGAACAGAATAGCTCATTGAGGTTGAGGTTAGAGAGATCGAGAGATCGATAGCAGATTAATAGGCAATCCCAGGATTGGGCCGCACGCAAGATACTTGTTAAATATGACCATTGAGCGTTGGTTAGGCTTTTTCATACCAATAAGAAAAAACAGAGAATATCCAGCTCTCTCTTTTGAAGATCAAAAGTGTGGTTGTATCTATATTAAAGTCTGTGGGACATTTTTAATTTCTCTGGGGAGGTTTAGCATTCAGCAGCAGGTCACTGTAACACCTAATCAGATCATAACACTGTATTGCACGTGCAGAAAAAAATGGGAGCTCGGCGGTTCTGATTTAATATGTCAGGAACAAATTGAGTCACACTGTGGAATAATTTACAGGCCTGCTGCTGGTCCCAATCAAATCTGTCATAAACTAATCAGCTGTCCATATGGCATGCCCACACTCGCCTGAGCCCTCAGCTTCTGTTACCAACAGACAATATAATACTATAGACTGGTAACAATTCTACAAGAAATTAAATTGGGGGAGCCAGTAGCCTAGTGGGTTAGTGCATGCGCCCCATGTACGGAGGCTGTGGTTTGAATCCGACCTGTGGCTCATTTCTGCTGTATTATTATATTTATGTCATTCTGCACTCTCTCTCTCCCCCTGATTTCTGACTCTATCTACTGTCCTATCTCTAAATGAAGACATAAAAATAAAACCTTGAAAAAAGAAAAAGAGAAAGAAATTGAATTGGTATGCAGTGATAGCGTTGACCAAACAGAAGGTGGGTTCAAGTCTGGGTCACGTGAACATTTTTAGAAAGAAAAGAGCAGAAACATCCCTCCATCTCTGTCTGTTATCTAGTCCAATGAAAAATGTGCAGTGTACATGTTGCTTGTTTGCAGCCATAGAATAATGCATTATCAGGAATAATCTTTTGTAATACACAGATTAGTTGTTGAGTAGCTGATTACACAGATGAGCTATGCTAATTGCCTGTTTCGTATTCATGTAGCCCAGGGGGCTTAAGCTCTCAGTGCATTAATGGCGAGCCCAATATGCTCCTACCATGCTTAGAAGATTACAGTATGATTGCTTTCTATTATTACTCTTCTTGTAGTATCTAATTGCTCCTGGGTGCCCCTTTAAAAATAGTATTTTCTCATTTTAGTTGGAATAAAAAAAAAAAATCTATTCTTGCAAATATTTGTCATAGTTGGTGCTATCATCATGTCCTCGTGTCCTCAGGGATCCAGCTGGTCCAGCAGGAGAAGAAACAGCTCAAAGTGTCGTGCACTAAAAGGGCTCGCAGGAACTGGCAGCTCCTCTACACCCTGGTCAACAACCCCTCCCTTGTGGGCACCAGGAAACACTTCCAGTGTCAGACTGCAGAGAGCTTTCTGAATGGAAGTCTCAACCGCAGCGCCAAGGAGGGGAGCAACAAGGAGACAGAGCCCACTGCCAGCGACTGAACCTGATAAAGATCGGCTGCACAGTCTTTTTTTTTGCTTTGGGGGAAATTCTACAGTCATATTGTGTTTCCATACCTGCTGTAGATGTGTTGAAAAACGTGCACTTATAGTTCAGTGCCCCATGTAGAGGTATGAACAAAGCCCTCCCTGTCTGAAGATTGTGAGTCCACTTTGTGCTCATGTTTCTCTGATTGTTTAAATGCTTGGGCCACAATCTGCGGCCTGATGGAAGCATGCGTGGCACTGACCTTACACTCTCATCATGAGTCATTTTTTACACATCTGTGTGCTTCTTTTGGGATAGCGCTTATCACATATCTTTCAACACATGGACAGGCAATTCACTGAAGCATCCCTTTAAAGAATGTATTAAATTATAGAGCATTTCACTATTTATGAATTCACAGAATGAGCTGTTTTCATAGGCTGTGTAAAACCATTTATTTTTTCAATTGTACACATTTTGTGAAATTAGCAATAACCTGTGGAGTACATGACCTAAAAATCAAATGAAACTCGACTTTTAAGGTACAAAACCACTTGCTGCTTCCAGCGTTTTCTCACTATTGTCCAAACTCTTTTCCTGGTGTCTGATGTTCGCCAACAGTACTCCGTTTGTCTCTATATTTACATTTAAAATGCTGACTTTAAAGTGAAAAAATCTATTTCTGTATTTTCCTTCCGATCACTGTGAAAAAAATAAAACTGAAACAGTAATTGTTGTCCTTTCATCTCTTATCATATACCGAAGTGAAGGGAAAAGAAAGAGATGATGTGAGATGATGAGATGATCAGCGACTGAAATCGACGCAGTTTTGTTTTTCAAATTATAAAGAAAATATGACCCGACCTCCTCCTGTAAAAAGGCATGACAATAACAAGAAAAATATCGATACAAAAATTAAAGCCTACTTTTAAAAAAAATAATTCCATAAATAGAAATCTCAATCGCGTATTTTTCTGTTTTTCCCCCGAAACATCTGTAAACAAAAAACAGGGGAAAGTCGTTTTTATAATTTCATGTTTTATTAATTCCACTTACATAAAAAAAAATGTAAAAAAATTCTGAAAAGGTCACTGCGTTTTTTTCGATTCGTTTTACAACAGTTCACAAAAAACACACTATATGCATCAGTTTACAAGACAGTGAAGCCGGACACTGACGCGCCCTTGTTGTTGAGGCTTCATAGAAACGTACCGTCGTAAAAAAAATAATAATCATCATTTCAATTCACATGGCTTTACATCACGTGTTGACAGTAACATCTACAGTCCTCTATAGACTACACTAAGAAAAACCACACTGGGAAATACGTGTGACATGCCATGGACACGTTCATTGTAAAAAGCGAGAATATATAGCAAGCACCCGTTGATAAAGAGGTTAAAGTCGCACATTTTTAAAGCCTTACGTAACGTCAAACCACATTTCTTGTTGGTAAATAACCTGGAAATTTCTAACGAGCACGACAGCTGAAGGTAAAGTTTCCATTTTTTGGCACAGGACGGCGGGAAGGTGAGGCGCAGTAACTCTAAAACCTAATATCTAAATTTGATTAATTTATAAATTCCATCTTTCGAATCTGAATTAGCAGGTCTATGACCAAGACAAATGAATCCTGAGAAATAGCCTTGTCAGATAGTTTTTTTCTTTCTTTTAGACTCATCCACATCCCTGAAAAGACGCACACATAAGAAAGGACAATCGCTCCCTGATGTCATTGTGCCAAAATGGCTTTAAAGCATTGCTCATTTTTAGTTTAAAAATGTTTGTGCTTTCAAAAATTGTTATTCATTTCTTTCTCTCCAAAATGTTTTATTTCTTTTTGTCTGAAATTACGCAGAAGTCCGGAGCTCTCCGCGTCTAGCCGCAGTACGCACATGTTATTGCGCCATCAGTGCCCATCCGCGTCCGTCCCGCAGGAAGGAAACATGTTGTTGCTGTCCGTTCACATTTGAGGTCTGATAAACTGTATAAATGTGTGCTCGCCCTGCAAACTTGATGGTTTTTTTTTTTTTTAAACCTTACAGTAGACTACAAATGTCACACGAATCAAGTCACAATCTGAAGTGATTGACGGTCTGAGGTAAAAAGAAAAAAAAAATGAAAGGATACACTTTTCTTTATCACAAGCCTTCACGTGTAGTAATGGTGGGTGAGTTACCTGCTTGAATGTAGGCTACTTAAACGTAAAATATTGTACAATCTTCCCGCAGACTTGGGACGATCTCAACGGCTCGGCTGCTTGTAATTCCCGTTGATCTCCTCGGAGATGTTGACCGCCTCTGCGCCCAGCGGTAACCTGTCACTGTACTCCGAGCCCACCTCGAACTCCTCCGGGTTGGTTTTGGTTGAAGAACCGGGGATGGACTCAGTCACTACGCTGCCCTCTGCCTCTCCCTCCTCTTCTCCGTCTCCCTCCTCTCCCTCTCTCTCGGCCTCCCCCTCCCCCTCGCTGGGGTTGAAGGTTTTCTCAGACTCCACAAAAGACGTCCTGCGATCAAATTCTCCCGCCATTTGTTTCTCCATCTGATCCGGATTCTGAGCCCTCATGATGAGCTTGTAGGTCTTCCCCTGGTACTTGTAGAGCAGGTGGCAGCAGGTGGCCCCCAGTAAGGGAACGGTGGCCAAACCCAGGAGGAAAATGCTGACCACCACTATGATGAGGAGGGAGGGAATCTTCTTCCTGGTTGTGAAAACGACCTGCACCTGGCAGTCCTGCCCACCATAGGTGAGACAGAGGGTGTAATTGGTGCCAGGCTGTAAACCATGGAACCTGTAGGCATTAACCCCCTCCTCTATATTAGACCACTGCACCATTGAGTGTCCATTTCCTGTATCCACACAGAGGTAGAGCATGTCTAAGGTGGTTTGGCTGTTTGAGGACTGGTACAGACCAAGCGGCTCTCTATTCACTGTTTCCTGGTTTTCAGGTTGACTCAGATGGAGGTTAGACTTGCTGCTTGGCAGCTGCAGTGGATTCAGTTGAACTTTGGCCTCTGTCTCAGACACTTCTAATGCAATAACCCCAAAATCAAAAGTGTACTGCTTCAGATCGTCCAGGCTTAGGTTGAAGGCGTGGTTCGAGATGTACTCGCTGCTGTCTCTCACCCCACACTTAGTTGCAAAAGTGGTGCCCTTGGAAAATCCACCCGCCTGCTCTTTGCCCTTGTTTTTGTCTGGTGAACCTTCAGGGCTGATCTTTGTCCTCTCACCAGACTTCGCCCTGTTGATCACATTGTTTTTGGAGGTCATGGGGTTGAAGGGCTTATTAGAAGTAGGTTGAATCTTTTCAGATGTAGAACCAGGCAGTGGGCTGCCGTTGTGTTTCTGGCTGGCTGCCATAGACACCTTCAAGCTGCTCTCAGCCCTACCTAAATCATTCACCGCAGAGCAGCTGTAGTTTCCATCCTCCTTTTTACTCAGACGAGGGATGACGATGGAGCCATTTCGAAAGACCAGGAATCTATTGTTGGTTGTTTTGTCATTAACTGGAACATCATTTATCTCTCCAGCGGAGGGCAAAGGGAAGAGATAATTCTGATTTCCTGCAGTGACCTCCCAGGTGACCTGAGGTTTAGGGCTCCCTGTTGTCTCACAGTTCAGGACCACCATGAAACCCTCATATAGCTCAGTGTTCTCAATGTCAGGCTGAGAGTTTATTGTGACAGAAGGGAGCTCACAGACCAGTTTGGGAACATTTGTAACCAGTGTGCCCTTCAGGTGTTCAGGGGTCTCACATAAAATTGTTTGTGGCTCGGGGACAGAGATCTTAGTGGTTGCGATCCAGTCCCTCAGCCACTCCAGGCTGCAGGAGCAGGAGAAAGGGTTGTTAAAGATCTGAAGGTGGGACATGGAGGAGAGAGCACTGAAGGTCCCCTTCACGATGGTGGTGAACTTGTTGTTGTTAATTCGCAGCGACCTCAGATCTTTTAGAGTGGAGAAAGCATCCTTGGGAAGGTTGATCATCTCGTTGTTGTTCATTTTAAGGAGCTGCAGGGCTGTGAGGTTCTGCAAATCCTCCCATGGGAAGTTTACGATTTTGTTGTAGCTGATGTCCAGGTTTTTTAGTTGGATCAGAGGGGCCAAGGTGTCTGTCTCGACGGTAACAATCTCATTGTGGGCCAGCCAGAGAGAGGTGACCTGGATGATGTTGACAAAGCTTTTGCTCTTCAAAAATTTAATCTTATTGGCAGAGAGGCTCACAGTGGTCACATTGGAGGGGAGACCCACAGGAACCACCAGCAGGTCTTTGTAAGCACAGTCAGCAAACTGGTGGGCAAATTTATCCTGGCAGCTGCAGGGCTCAGGACAGCTCTGTACAATGGCGACCATCGAAGTCCACAAGGCGAGGAGCTGCAGGAGCTGTGAAGCCATTTTCCGCTCCTGCAAGAAGCAAAACACCAGACCTCAGCCAAAGGGTTAAAATCATATCAGACACTCAGACTACATCCATTATGTCCATCACAGCAGCGGAAATGCACTGTGAAAGGTTTTTGTCTCTCGTAACAATTCAATTGTGTGTTTATTGAAAAAGCTTTCCTTGTTTCAAATGGCATCAAAGCTCTTTAACACAACTCAAAAATGCACTCTAAAGTCAGAACACACAGAAACAACAATATGTGAAAACTGCATCTGCTCTACAAACTGATTAAAAGCTACACATGCAAAGCACCAATGCACGGAACGAAAACAACATTTTTCTTCTTCTAAGTTTTGCACATTTATCCACTCTGTTAAAGCTTTTATGCAGGTATGTGTGTGATATTTGCAGTCGTTTCAGGGTCAGGGGGTCTCTGCTTTTTCTGAGCGCGTCTGAAGTCCGGTGCGTAAAATCAGGTGCTGTCCACAGTGCTGAAACATCTGAATATTGCAGTTAAACTTTACCTTGCGCAAGAGGTAAAATGCTATATTTTCATGATTTATTACAGATACGTATAGCTTTTGCACTCCTAAACCAATGCCCTTGTGATTCAGTTGCATTTGACCTACAGGGCGACGCTTATCAGGATAATGCTTATGGTTTTTCTTTCTATTGTACCTGCAGTAACTGACTCATTAACCACAAAATCATCTTACCTGTCTGATGTCAACTTCAATCTTGTGTCGTTTAATCACTGTCGGAGTTTAAAATCCTCAGAAACAAGTTTAATAGTCGGAAAAACTCTCGTCCTCGTTTGTTGTGGATCCTTTCACATGACTTTTGCAGACATCGGCAGTAGCAGCGAGGATGAAGGGCGGTAAAGGGATCATTTTTTTCCCGGTGAGACGCTCTTGCAGTCCGAAAGCGCCTTTTCCCACTCCAGCCCGAGGTGTGCGATCCATTGCGCGTCCCCGCCACCGAGGAGCGAGAAAAGGAAGTCGTGAACGCGCAGCCTCTCCCATCTCTCTCCTCTCTATTAAAGATACAGAAGCTCTGGGTCCACCACCCTCAAAGAAAAATTCATAATTTAAGGACGCGATGTTTAATTTATTACCCCGACCCGAGTCTAATCTTTGACCTCGTTCGGTTCAGCTGCAACCCTTTGTCTTAAAAACGACCCAGCAAGGAGTTTCCAAACGCAATGACAGCTCAAGTTTGTTAGTGGGGCAAGTAGGCTAATAGTGTACAGAAAAATCTTTCGAAACTGCGGAAATATAGACTATAGGCTGGGCTTTATTTTTCCTAAACAAAAATGAATACAAAGGATGAAGACTGACAAACGGAGTCCAACAA